CGCGGCGCGGGGGCCCGATCGCACCTCACCTTTGGCAGGACCCACTCGCCCCCTGCGGCGAGTCGGGTCGGAGAGCCAGGGGAAGTCGACCAGACACTGCCGGCCTTCGTCCCTCTTGCAGCCAGGACTACGTGCGCGATGGCTTTCTGTAGGGTAAGGGCGTGGACTTGTAATCTCTGTAACCTGAACGGCACAGGGCAGACGGGTTCGGAAGGGTGCGGGGAAAACTCGTCCAACAGCAAGATCTTAAGGTGGCGACCAATCAAAATGGACCAACTAGGATCTTCCATGCCTTGTGATCTCAAGGTGTCCCAAGTCTAGTTACGCATGTACGGAAGATGGCAACAGGAGACAGAATTGATTTCACATTCATTTGATTCAGAGATTTCACTTAGCCCAAAGTGTATTTTGAAAAATGTGTAAATATCTGCATCTGGGATCAGGTTCTCTGAGTAGTCCACCAGGAAGAGAAAAAACCTCAACATAGTTCTCCCAGCTGGAGAAGAGCTCTTAGGGCATGGTGCCTGAAGAAGGCTTCGTGTGCCTCTTCTTGACCAGGTGATCTGGTAGCAGACATCTACTATGACATCATCTGCACTGGTCTGTTCTCTGGTCCTTACCCACACTCTCCATGGGTTCATCAGCTGTCCCAAGGTAAACCTCCGTGCACCCAAGACACTACTTTTCACAGTGCACAAGCCCTCCTACTTGCCTTCCCACCCCATCTTTCCTGAACAGCCTGTAACCCTTCAGGCTTATCTCCTGCTCACATCCATACTCAGTAATAAAGTAAATATTTGAAACTTGCTTACCACAGCAGCTGCCTTATATGTACTGTGGGCAAAATAGGCACACAGGTAGTTACCATGAAATCTTCAGCATGCTGAATAGCTATAATACTCTGCACATGCTGACTTGACTCAGGCTAACTTTTCTATTTAACTTTTTGCTGTGTTAGTAAAATAGTGGGTAAAAGATGGAATTACATTTCTTTTAAAGGTGTGGACAATGTTTCTTACAAGGTTCTTTCAGAGAAATGAAGGCATGCTGCTAGCCACAAGGTACTAGACATAATTCAGAAGCTTGTGGAGAAACTGAAGACAGCATATAGAAAGTTAACTTCTTACCATGTTGAAAACTATTCTAAAGGGCTCCACAGCATTCCATACTAAAACAATTCAGGGAAGACGGGGTGAGAAACAACATAGAAATATTTCCAAGAAACATCCTGAATTCAGGATTAGCTAAGACTGAGGAAAATTCTAGAACAGCAAAGAGAATTTGTCACATGCATGGGGAAAAAAGCTTGCTGAAGTAGCATTTGCAGACTTAGCGGTAACATTAACGTATTAAGGCCCCAGAGAGTGTGTCTTAAAAGTAGGGACTGCTTAGGCGCCTTATTGCAACAAATCATTCCATTTCTTCCTTATCATTTAGTATGATGCAGTTTAGACTTTCCAGTTTCTGTAAGAAAGTTTTGGGGCCTACTAAGGAATAATAGAAGAGCTGGTCACTGAGGTTGTCTAGGTCTTGTCTAGTCAACTAATTTCTTTACTTTACTTACTTTTTTAGTATCTGTGAATACTTTGGTGTAGAGCCTTACAGAGCCAGCTAGAAATGGACTATTGCTCTCTGTTTTCATTCTCATAGCAAAAAGTTATGGATTCTAGCTCTTCATTAGGAAGAACAAACAGTGGAGTAAGAAGCAAGACATACAATACTCAACCAGTGTAGGACCACTACTATATTGCAGTACCCACGCAGATACATGTCAACTAGAAGATAGGGCTTAGCAGTAACTATTATAATTCACAATTTAAATTATTTAGCCTGGTATTGTTTGAAAATTTGGGTCAAATCTGCAGTTTGAATTGAACTGTCTTGTGTAGGTCTCCCAAACAAAGAAAGAAATCTTCGCTTTTACTTCTTGTGAGTAGTAGTCGTGGGAACTGCTGGATTTAATCACATGAGCCAAAAGAAGAAACTGAGTATTTATTATTTCCAACTAACTGAGTGTCCTGACTAAGTGAGTGTCACCTGACAGGTGAAACCTGCACTGTGAGAGCTATCCATTTTATGTCCTCTGCTTTAAAATGATTTTTTTTCTTTTCTTTTTAGCAAAATTGGGAAGAATATTGGACTTTGATCAAAGCATTCACAGACTGGAGGAGTAGCAAGAATGAGGAGCAACTACCTATGTCTTTCAGAGGACTATCAACCACTCACTGTAATCATCAAACCCATGACCCACACAAGGAATGGACTACTTTGACATACAGCTAAAGGGTAAATTTATCACATTGAAATTTGGTGGGATTGGAACATCAGATTCCTATATACTATCACGGAAATTCAGCCTCCGAGGTCTTTTCAGAATAGAAACCTGTTTCAGAATAGAATTATGTTTTCAAAATTTGTACTGCCGTGATTTCTTTCAGCAGTTTCTGATCATATACCTTCATATGCACTCCGTTCCCTAGCTGATGAGGGCAGAGACAAAGACCCTGACAGGTTTCAGCAGCCACAAGTTTGTTCTTTGTGAAAAGCCAGAATCAAATCCATTTCCATATCTCCTTCCTGGAGTAAGTGGAGTGAAAAGTAGTAAACTCACATACTGTGATGTCAGAGACTGTGACGCGAACTGCAAAGAGAAAAAACAGCCTGAGAATAACGGTGCATATGCATGAATCTACTTCTTAGCACAGGCATAAATTACAGCAGTAAACGGAATACTTCAAAGAATTCCACCCTTTTATATGGGTCCAAAATTGTTCTCTATGAAGTCTAGGTACAAACTCATTGATTTTCTTCACGGACTAAACCCAAGAGATTTTGAAAAACAACAGGGTGCAAAATATATTGTCCGGAGCTAGGAACCTTCTGACTGCTATGTTTAATGTAAAATGCATTAGAAACTGGATGACAATCTCTACCACTGGGTTATACAAATGCCAGAACTACAAACAGAAACAGAAACAGGTGGTAGGCAGAAGACAGCTTGCAGCTCTTAAGTCAGGAAATGCCAAGTGCAATATAAAAATAACCCCCCACCCTTTAAATAAAACAGGCTGTATTTCACAGTTTATTTATGATGATGTGTGTTTATTTCAGTCTTGGAGAGCCATCATACTGTTGGGATGCAAGAGGTCATTTTCTTCTACGTTTAGGCTGTTAGTAACAGGCCTATTTTGGCTTTCCACACTAATGCAACTTTTAATTGCCTATGAAATTGCATCACCCTGAGGGAACTTCATAGTAACATTCAAAATCATGTTTTCCTTTTTTATGCTCAGGGATCAGAGGAAAAGTTACAGAAACTGGAGTCATAAACATAGTACAAGAAATTTACAGATTGGCTATAAAACGGAAATTGTATTAACTGACATCTAGGAAACTGGAGGTCTTCTAGCTTGACCTGCTCTAGAGTCATCTCACTTGCCAGAGTAAAGGAAATACATGTTGACTTCATGCTCATGTCACCTGCAGCAGTGTAAGTTTGATCGTGCTACACTGCAAAAAAAAATGCTTTCTAAAAATCAAGCTTTAATCATGGAATTAATCTGGCTGTCATCTATTCCAACACCTTGCTCTGCCCCTAGCAGAGTCAGCTGGAGCAGGTTGCCCAGGGCTTTGTCCAATTGGATTTTGAAAATCTCTGAAGACGGAGACTCTACAACCTCTTTGGGCAACCTGTTCTAGTGTTTGACCATGCACACAGTAAAACAATTTTTTTTTCTTATGTTTAAGTGGAATTTCCTGTATTTCAATTTGTGTCCATTGCCTCTTGTCCTTTCACTTTGCAGTACTGAGGAGAGTCTGGCTTTGTCTTCTTAATCCCCCTGACCAAGTATTTATATACATTAATAAAATTACCCCCATCCTTCTTTTCTTGACGCTAGACAGTCCCAGCTCTCAGTCTTTCCTCAGGTGTTTCAATCCCTTAATCATTTTAGTGGCTGTTTGCTGGATTCACTCCGGTACGTCCATGTCTTATACTGGG